ATATCTCCGAAATCTGAGATGGCCTCAACTGCCAATTTGATTCGTTGATCCAATTGTGCAGCCCTTTGGGTCTTTCGGAGCCCGGTGGTATAGTCGGCAGCTGATCTGCCACAGTGTAAACAATTCCACCGAAGTTGTTGCACGGCTTCGTTCCAGTAATCACTGCCAAGGTCAATGTGATTGGCCTGATGATGGTCAGCAGCAGAACTCTGGCACTCTGCCTCGGAACTCCCTGAGCACCTTGAAACGGTCGTCGGCATGATTTCATCGAGCACACAATTGTCCAACGATTAAAACATTAACAGTGACTAATGCATCACTATACAGTACATTAACCAATGATATGTAACATTGTGTTACTACTGTTACATCAGTATGAATGAATCACTTGATTCCCTGGCCGGCAGATGTCGATCATGTATGGTGCAAGGCAAATCACTGACAGACTATGCAGGCAGGCAGGCAGGCAGCCAGCCTCGGAGACAGCAGGGTCCTGAGGACATCACTGCCACCCGGCACTGTGTAGTCAGCATGTCATGCTGGGTAACCTTTTTGAATCCAAGTTGCGCACACTACCGCTGAGGTCTCAAATCGGACCGTCTAGCTCTGCTGGCGAGATCGTCGAATTCAAAATCCTCTAAGCACACGCAAACCCGGCACTCTGCCTTCCCCAACATCCGTAATACGGTCTCGGAGGCTGTACAAACACGACAAATCATTGATTCAGTGACGACACAAATTCGTCTGACACATTGTAATGTAAAATTCCTGGCACTCTGCCTTGCCGCACAAATCTCGGAACGAGTACGCACATGATCATGTCATTGATATGCCAGTCTACTTGCAAGACTTGCCCACGCTCTTCAGAATTCAGAAACATCCACAATGTCGAAAAGGACTCCTCTAGCAGCTCGTCGAAATAAATCACATAATCATCGTCGTCAAAACTGTCCGCGACCGAGCCCACAAACGAACCCCCAAACGCCGCAGTGCTTGCAAACCCGCCAACAGCCAATAAGTCCGAGACCGAGCCCAGAGACTCACTGTCACTCCACGACATCGACCACATCTGCCGGCTTGCACGGAGGCCTACTACGACTTAGACTAGAGACAGAGCAGGTCGTCGGGATCACTGCTTTCATCGAGCACACTTCAATTGTCCAAAGATTAAAACATTAACAGTGACTAATGAATCACTATACAGTACATTAATCAATGATATGTAACATTGTGTTACTACTGTTACATCAGTATGAATGAATCACTTGATTCCCTGGCCGGCAGACAGATGTCGATCATGTATGGTGCAAGGCAACTCACTGACAGACTATGCAGGCAGGCAGGCAGGCAGCCAGCCTCGGAGACAGCAGGGTCCTGAGGACATCACTGCCACCCTGCACTGTGTAGTCAGCATGTCATGCTGGGTAACCGTTTTGAATCCAACTTGCGCACACTACCGCTGAGGTCTCAAATCGGACAGTCTAGCTCTGCTGGCGAGATCGTCGAATTCAAAATCCTCTAAACACACGCAAACCCGGCACTCTGCCCTCCCCAACATCCGTAATACGGTCTCGGAGGCTGTACAAACACGACAAATCATTGAAGCAGTAACGCCAGAAATTCGTCTGACACATTGTAATATAAAATTCCTGGCACTCTGCCTTGTCGAAAATCCCGCCGAAGTCTCGGAAAGAGTGTGAACATGATCTGCTCATTGACAGACCAGGCTACTTGCAAGACTTGCCCACGCTCTTGAGAATTCAGAAACATCCAGAATGTCGTAAAGCACTCCTCTAGCATCGTGTCGAACGGAATCACAGAATCATCGTCGTCAAAACTGTCCGCGACCGAGCCCGCAGTGCTTGCACCCCCATCGTCAACCAGAACCCAGTCCGAGCCCAGAGACTCACTGTCACTCCACGACGTCGACGACATCTGCCGGCTTGCAGGGGTGCCTACTACGACTTAGACTTGAGACAGAGCAGCTGTAACACGACTATAGTAGATTACGCAGGGCAACAGCGAGCACAACTGCTGCAGCGGCAAGTTGCGATACATGACACGCTCACTGACTATGCAAGGCAGCGTGTCCTCTGCGATGGCAGCATGTCCTCAGGATCCTCGTCATGAGCCTCGGTGCCAGGACTGTACCATAATAATGGAAGTAGCTGAAGCAAGCTGATGCTGAGATCCCAGCAGTTGGCATCCACTTCTCGATGGTCTGGAAGCCGATGAAGACCGATGGGAGAGAAGGAAATGGAAGAGAAGGCGTTCACTAGGCTTGGATTCAAACCGAACACTTAGACCTGGCCAACGGTGTGGGGAGCAACCCCGATGGGGCAGGGGCTTAAGTAAGGCAACCTCGAGAGGCTCGACTGGCACTCTGCCTCTGTCGATCCAAGTCGCAAGGCTCCCTAACTAACGTGACAAGCATGGATGGCCTCCCCTCCTGGTTGGGAGAACAGATCAAGCCACAACCACTGGACCACCCCACCCAGCACTTTAGCCCATGTGCCCGGGTGTCATATGCCACTGCCCTGGCACGTTGGCCCCACGGCGGTCCAGGTACCATCGACAACACCTGACACCCGGCCAACGGTGTCCACGAACCGAGATGGGCAGTCGATCCGTGTGGGTAAGGTGGCACTCTGCCTCTGTCGCTCCAAGTCGCAAGGCTCACTAACGTGACAAGCATGGATGGCCTCCCCTCCTGGTTGGGAGAACAGATCAAGCCACAACCACTGGACCACCCCACCCGGCACTTTAGCCCATGTGCCCGGGTGTCATATGCCACTGCCCTGGCACGTTGGCCCCAAGGCGGTCCAGGTACCATCGACTCAACATCTGACACCCGGCCAACGGTGCCCACGAACCGAGAAGGGCAGTCGATCCGCGTGGGTAAGGGCAAGATCTCAAGGCAAGTCAACATGTCACTACGGCCTCCCTTCTTTGTTCAATCACAACCCAAAACTATTTAAAAAGATTAAATATTAAAAATTATCAACTTCAACAACAAATAAACAACAAATTTGTAGACATACAGCAGCAGGAAACCAGGTAGAACAACAGGAAGCCAATTGACTCACTCAGAAACAAAATTCACAAACATGTATTTTTTACACCAAAAATAAAATAAAAGAATTTTAACAACTGTAAAACACAAAAAAAACCTATTTAAAAAACTTTTAAATACAAAACAATACTTTTAAATACAAAAAAAAAACACTTTTAAACACAAATAAAGCCAACCACATACAAAAATGAGATTTTGGGTTCCTTTCATATAAGCCTTGTTGATCTAAACCCTGTGGTTCTGGTTCGGCGCAAAGGGTTAAGGATCACTTCACTCTGATGGTAACGGTCTGGTCCACTGTGCCCTTCACGTAAAGCGCCTCCAAACCACCAAAGTGCATAGCGTGCTTGCGTCACTCTTACCACCTCGGGCCTTGTGGTCTCAAGGCGCTCAAGGAAGTCCTTGAGGAGATCAATTTGTATCTGGATCTCATCATCCTCGAGCCCTTGCTCTCGCCTATACTGAACTTAGAACCCTAGCAAACATTATAATTTTAGCTGTTTCTTAGGGATTATAAAAGCCAAAAAATAAAAATTATTGCGAAGTACCCCTAAGTAGCTGCTCGGGAGGCTCTGGCTGCACGGGTCCACCCGAAGCATCCGGCTCTGCGCTGGGAATTGCTTCCCTCTCGTCTGGCACAGCTTCACTTCCCGGCAAATCGGAATCCATGTAGAGACGGCAGGGGAAGCTAATTTCGACAGCAAAATGTATCTAGCATGGGTCGGGACGGGGAAGAGGGAAGTGTATCCTGAACGAATCGCGGATGGAAGGCTGAAGCGGAATGACTAGAGCATCTGAACTGGGCCAAAGACCCTTGAAAATGCCTTCAGGCCCCCCGCACCGTGCGATAAACTCCAAAACTCGAGCGTGGAGTGGGGATTTCCCTCTCCTTGAAGGGGTGCAACGACTGGACCAGCCCGGTAGCAAATAACACATGCTCTTGGCCGAAACCGCTGTGGCTGCAGTATCGGAGCAATGCTACAAGGACAAGTGCAGCGGTAAATAATCGGTTAAGCCGTTGCGGCTTATTGTTGCCATATAAGGGTTGCTTTCAAGGATCCTTTAAAGAGGGTTACATACGGGTTATATACTGGTAACAGTGCATAAGACTACAACTTCTGTAAGGGATGATGCAAAGAGTTCTATACGGATTCTAAAAATTTAATCTAGGGGCCTCAATCAGTAGCATGCGGTCTTATGTCATAGGCGTGAGACATTGTTGCGAGTTGTTTCGACCCTATAATCAAGCCTTAATCGGGCTTTCGGATTCAGGGAAAGACTGCTCTAGGGTCTAAAGTTATATACGGGTATAGGGGTTTCCGAGTTTGGGGTTCTGAGGTTTCTAGTGGGTGTCGCATTCTAGAAACAGCTTTGCTGGAATGCGCTTTGAAGTCTTGGAGGTTGAGGGGATTTAGTGGGGCTTAGGGATTAGGGCACAGTGCTAAACCCTAAACTATAGTCATTTATACAGGTGCAATTATAATTACGGCTTGGCGGTACTAGGGGCCAAGACCCCAGAGGTAGCTTATGGTGGAGCTTTAGCGACTGTAGTGGTGCAGCTAGTGCTGTAGGGTGTTCAGGGTCTGCAAGATTTTTCGGGGCGGGTAGATGTAGTGGCTGAAAGATGAAGCACACATTTTCCCACTACTGCGCGATCACACCCAGAAATGAACGAAGCGCTTTCGCTCTAGGGGAAATGAGCGCTTAGGAGTCGGGATGGATTCTGTTGAAGGGCACCTTCTGTCTCCGAAGCCGTGGAAACTATCCCATCCTACCTCCACCCCCGAAACACCCGAAAGCCTAAATTTTACCAAATTTTGACACCGTTAAATACACCGAAATATCCCAAATCCAACCTAATCCCTAATCCCAAAAACGCTTTGACCCTATAACCCTAAACTCGAACAAGTAATTACCAAATCCGCTCCTGTCTCAGCTGAGCCATTCGCGTGGAAGCCCAGAGGTCTGCCTGCTGTCCGGAGGGGATACCCTCAAGGTCTACATCTACGTTACATGATGGGCATCATAAACATCATTTATACATGTCTAAGAATAAGTATATATATGTACATATACTCGAAAGAGAGATACATTTGCTCGTTTATGTTCATGTGTATCTGTATCTGCATCTATCCATATTTAAACTGGTTTGTGTATATGTATACACACATTTATGATTGGATGTATGTATATATGTACAGACATGTTTGTATTTACAGCTAAAATTACATATGTATGTATGTATGTATGTACGTATGTATGTATGTATGCCTGTGTGCATGCTATGTATACTTGGGTGTATAGGTACAAATAGGCATCATCTAAAGACACACACACACACATATGTACATATATACAGACAGAGAGACAGACAGCCGGAGAGACAGAGAGAGATTGACGTAGAGATGAAGAAACAGAAACTGATAGGTAAGGCAAGGTACGATGTGGCTGAAAAGATCAGATAAGATGAGACAAACAAGAATAGATAAGACATGACACTGTAAGATGCGATACGAAAAGATAAGCCAAAAGAGGAGATAAGAACAATATACGACAGGATAGGACCAGATAAGATAAGACAGAACAAATCGAAAACAAGGTAAGACAGATAGCTAGGTAGGCAGATCGGTAGGTGGGTAGATAGGTAGATAAGGAGACAATTCCCTGCGGGTGCATGTGTCTGTGTGTCAATGTCTGTGTCTGCGCGGAATGGGTGTGCGTGTGTGTGGGTGGGAGGGTGTGCATGTGTAAATGTATGCATGCGCACGCATGCACGCTGATCGGGATGCGAAACTGGCCGTGCTGCAGCGAATGAGTGAAACCAAACCACGAACCACTGGCTCCATGTAATCTAACCCTGAATCCGAAATCTGTACCGCAAACCGGAGAGCCACAAGCCCATAATCATACAAGCCGGAAGCAAAGTCTCTAATGTAGGGGCTTTATTATTTAGAATGGGGTTTGGGGCCCATTATACTATAGTTCTAGTAAGTTTTCCTCAAAACAGTATTGGTAATTATTTAGGCCCCTATATTACCACAACTCTTGTGCCTCTTTCTGGCGGCGCTCCTCTGCCGCTCTCTGTGCCCGGAGATGCCTCTGCCGCTCCTTTAGTCGGGAAGGTGAGGTATGCGATGCCTTTGCCCTACAACGAACCGCTTCAATAGATATCAGCATGTACATAAATATATATATATATATGTATGTATACATACATACATATATATATATATAATATACATACAATGTACATACATATATATATATATATATAGAGAGAGAGAGAGAGAGAGAATATACATACATGTCTGTCTGTCTATCTTAAATGAGCATCGGAGCAATAAAAGGCATCCCGAGATTGTGTGCTGATAAGAGTTTCGGATCGCAGCTGCGGGCGCTCTCGCTGAGGCTTAGGAGCTTGAGACTTTCCATTCTTGCCCAGACCTTCGGGAGGATCTAGAAAGTAGACCCCTCATTTGGGGCCCGATACTCTTCTAAGGGTACTTTGTAGGAACCCCCCCATTTTGGGATCTACGTTTTGGATCCTCCCGGTGGTCTGGGTATCGACGGCTTTGGGCATCGTGCCGCACAGCCAGGAGGATGTTTGCTTTGTGGGACAAGCAGATGGATGGGTTGGTGGGGAAAGGGAAACCAGAAGACCCAGCTTGCCGCCTGCGACACCAAAGAAGAAGACTGATACTGCTGATGGACAAGATCCTGCATGACCCTAAGGACTCTAAACTATGGGAATTATGGTATATTCCTTGCAATGGGTCATGCAGGGTTTTGTCCATCAACAGTAGGAAGAAGCAAAAATGCATGAAGCGAACCGGCAACCTGCTTCGAGCGTGGACTTGCGTCCGAGTCCTCTTGCTGGCGCTGCTGTTCTTCCTGACGTCGGCGCTGCTCTTCCTCCTGGCTGCGGGAAAGTGGGGTCGTGTGTTAGACAAGTGAAATGGCTCCAAACCTACAAACAACAAAAGTCCCAACGACACTGACATGCCAAGACCGACCGCCCGGCCCCCAAGACCAAGTTAGGGTTCAGGAGTTTAAGGCTTTAGGAAACTTTACGGTTTTAGGGTTTTGGGGGTTTGGGTTAGAAGGGGCCCCCACCCTGTAATAGTGGTATAATAGGGCCCTAATATAATCCTTATAGTCACTAGTAAAGTGTGGGGGCAGCTTCTAAGGTTTGGGGTTCAGGGAACTTCCGTAGCAGTGCCTGCTGCGCCCTCGTCGCTCGGATCTCGGATTCCCTTCTCTGCTGAAGTTCGGCCAGCTCCCGCTGACGGGCCTGAACGGTCTAATCTACGCGGAAGCCTGGGAGGTCCCTTTAAGGGCTACTGTAGGGTTCTAGAGTAGGGTTCTCTTTAAAGGTTTTTGGGGGTGCAGGGTGTACCGTAGGGCTACAGGGCCTAAAGGGCTTGTTTGATGTTCTCTCAGGGTTGTGCAAGGCCTCTGTATTTCGGGTGTTCAAGCAACCGGTCCATTTTGCGGGCCTCAATGATTGGATGAGGGTTCTGGAGGGAATTGGGGTTCGAGCTAGGGTTTAGGGCTTTTGGGTTTTGGGGTTTTGCGTTTCAGGGCCTGGGGTTTAAGGGTTTCGGGTTTCGGTTTTAGTAAGGCCCCTGTATCAGGACTACAGGATGCGGCGAGTATGTCAGGTCGGGGGCTGAAACTCTGAAGTCAACGAAGAACATCGTACAAATCCCGGCTCTAGCTTGAAACCACCTCGTACTTGTAGCTATCGTTTCGGTATTCGGGCTCCACTTCAGCTTTAACCCCGCAGCCCAAACCCATCGGCCTGCTCCGCGCGAACTAGAATCTTTCAGATGCCTGTGCTACTCTCACATCGGTTATTTCTTTCATCATGGTGAGTTCGCTCTTATTTATCTCCAGGACTTGATGGCAAAATGCCAAGCGTCCCTGAATTCGCGACCACCTCAAACTTCTCGTGACATCCTTAAGCAGCTGCAACCCTAGAAAAATCTTCACGACACCGGACCCTACGAACCGAAACTTCACACCTTGAAAACCGAAAATGCCCATCTTGCAAAAACGGAAACCTCAAAAGAACAACATAAATCTTGAAACACAGCGTTGCATCTCCGCACGTCACGACCCCTTATGAAACGCTTAATAGCCTTAACGGAACCCTAAACACAAACTTAAGACCTTGACGGACCCTGAAAGAACCTCTCACGGGGATCCCTTTTTGGAACCCTTTAAGCCTTACAGAACACTACTATAAGGGTCTGACTACAGTGAAAACCCTGTATAAGAACCCCGTTCGGCGAGAGTAGGGTACCCTAAGGTTCTTAATTTCCATTACATGTGATTTTGTCGTTCGAGCAGCTAGGGTAGGCTCAGGTTCTTAACCACGTTCTTATCCGGACCGAGGTCTCGGGAAATTTACTTTTGGATTCTAAATTTCCTCTTGGGGGTGGATGGGCCATGGGGGTCTGGAAAATTTAGTTTTCAATTCTAAATTTCCACAGCTCCTCGAAAGGACTCGGGGCAGAGGGCATGGCCAGAGACCCCCCAGAAAATTTACTTTTGGATTCTAAATTTCCTTGTGGGGGTGGATGGGCCATGGGGGTCTGGAAAATTTAGTTTTCAATTCTAAATTTCCACAGCTCCTCGAAAGGACTCGGGGCAGAGGGCATGGCCAGAGACCCCCCAGAAAATTTACTTTTGGATTCTAAATTTCCGTGGGGGTGGATGGGCCATGGGGGTCTGGAAAATTTAGTTTTCAATTCTAAATTTCCACAGCTCCTCGAAAGGACTCCGGGCAGAGGGCATGGCCAGAGACCCGCCGAAAATTTACTTTTGGATTCTAAATTTCCGTGGGGGCGGATGGGCCATGGGGGTCTGAAAAATTTAGTTCTCAATTCTAAATTTCCACAGCTCCTCGAAAGGACTCGGGGCAGAGGGCATCGGATGGGCCATGGGCCAGTGGCTTGGGCCGGGACCAGGACGCTGGTGGGAAAATTTAGATTTCAATTCTAAATTTCCACAGTTTGGTGGTGAGGGGCTCTGTTTCAGTGGAATACGAGCTGCGGGCAGGCCGCCCGCAGCGGCACGACACCCCCGGGGATCGAAACCAGGCCTTCCCCCTGTAGGGCCTATGCAGAACCACTGCGCTGTGGGGAGGCTTTTCTGCCTTGGGGATCGAAACACGTACCTTTGCCTCCAGAACCCATGCACAACCACCGCGCTGTGGCATGATTGCTGTTGCCCATCGATAATACAATCACCATGTTTAGGCACAAGATTTCTTGATGTGGAAGGTTGGGAAATTTAGTTTTCGATTCTAAATTTCCTTGGTGAGGGAAAGCACCCAAAAAATAAAGAACCTGACCCGAAAACTGGGGTACCCTAAGGTTCTTAATATTGAGGCAACTTGAATCTGGTGAATTCCGCCTTGGGTAGGGGCTCAGGTTCTTAAACAGTGGGTTCTTATACAGTATTTTCACTGTACTCAATAACTGATGAACAATCACATTCCTTGGGCTGCGTGGATAAACTTCTACCTTGATTTCCAGCGTATCAATTACCCCCAAACTCTGTTCTAATTGATTTAAGGCCCCTCTGTTCGTCCGCGGCTGCAGAGCCTGAACGATCGATGCATCCTCGCGGTCAGCCCGGGAAACACCTGAGGGTTTCGGTGCTCATGCTTAGACGGAAGAGGCGAGGAGGGGTCTGCTGTTTGGTTTAGGGTTGAGGGTTTAGAGTTTATGGTTTAGGGTTTAAGGTTCGGTACCGGTACAGTAGGGCACGATGGCATGAGTCAGAATGAGCAATCTATGCGCGGAAAAAAACGCACCAGTAGCCATGTCGTTGCATTGTATGGCATCCATGTAGCAACCAAGACAATTCCTATAGCACTACACGTTGCAACTCAGCAAGACCCAAACAGGCCGACAAGTCCGAGGCGCAGCTCAGGTCACGAGCAGTGTCGCACATCTCGCACACGGAGAGGGACACATCGTTGTCCCAGTCGCAGTCGAAGCAAGTCCATGTCTCCGCCACCGCCATGATTCCATGAGCTTCAGAGGCGTCGCGAACCCGAGTCCCCCAAACCTCTCAACCATGAAGCCCTGGGCGAGGGACAGAAACATCCTCAACTACACTGGGGAGGAGCCTTGCCCTGCTTGGCTTCGAGGGTTGAGCCAAGCTCAAATCAGTGCCACTTCTCAGAGGGGGGGGCTCCACATCCGTTTCGCGTTTTGAGTTGAGGAGTTTGGCTTTATGTGTTTAGGTAAGTCGCAAGCAAGCTGCCGAAAGTCTACTGAGTGCATGGAGCCCTGAGTATGAATCTCGTGAGCTGAAACATTCTGCAGAAGCAGGATCCTCGGCGATCGAAACCATGCATGCCACCCTTCTTATGGCTTTATGGCTTGACCCAACGACTCCAAAACCCTCTATTAGGAAGATACCTTAAGTTATAGTCGGATCCCTAATATGAGTTAAGGAATATTCCTTGCCTAACGGGAATTGGAGACTCGTACGTGCAGCCATGCTACAGCTACCCACTTGCCTGCGGGTCCTCCTGCTCCCTCGGGTTTTCGGATGCGCCGGTGCTTGGAAACGGTGCACAATGCCTGAGCAGGCACTAGTTTACGTGGTACACATACAAATTGATTCATATAGGGGTGTAAACTGGTGTAAATAATTTCCAATACTATTTATGAGGTAATTTTGGTATAATGGGCCCCAAATCCCATTCTAACCCAATTTCTAATTAATTATTAAGGGCCCTATATTACAGATAAACCAGACATTCGAGGTAGGAGTGGCTGCAGAAAAAGATCCGTGCCAGACGGACCGCATCCGCTGGTCATAACAAGAGGCAGCATGCGTATGCAATGCACGGAGGCGTGTCAAAACATGTACATCTTAAACGAGCTAGACCAACAAAATATGGTTGGTGATCTATGGCGCGAATGGATGTGAAGATGAAAGGCTTGACAGATTTGACATGTGTATGTACTGACCCATGTATGTACGTACGGATGGATGCATGGGTGCATGTAAGTGTGTGCGTACACGTGGGTATGCTATACAAAACTATACTATACGAAATATCTGTATATCTACATATAAACATATACACAGACACACACACACACACACACACATGCACATATACATATACATAAACAAATATATATATATATATATATATATATATATATATATATACAGTTATATATATACATATCTACATATATATATAGATATACATATATATATATATATATATATACGTATCTACTTATAAAAATTTATACTGTTTGTATCACACATATCTCGCAGCGCTTCCCCTGAGCTGCAGACTTCCGCGTGGCCAACGCGATCTCATGATGCATGCTGTAATTAGGGTAGCCCCAATGAGGTTACGCAGAAACTCAAGTGGTAGCCGCCGCCTATACAATTCCTTGACACGTAGGCCTTAAGCCTCATGAAACCAATAGACGACCTTGGATAGGATGAACTGCTCTGCAGATGGGTTTGACATGGCTGCTTTCAACGACTTGAGCTGGCCGTCTGTCGGCGGGAAGGCGCATCGAATGCAAGGCGAACCGCATGTGCATTTAGAGTTTTGGGGTTTTAGGGGTTTAGGGGTTTTTTCCTATAGTTCCATATATAAAGGGATCGTAGGGGTTCCTTTACAGGGATCCATAAGGGATTAGGGCTCCGACAACGGATCATAGGGTTGGCATAGGTAAGGGATTAGGGCTCCTTAGAGGGATCATAGGGTTCCTTTAAAGGGATCCATGAGGGATGAGGGTTTAGTATTAGGTTGTGGCCACCATATGGTGAGGCGTCGGGGCAGGGGATACGACAGAAAACGATTCCAGCAGCCGCTACAGAAACCGGCAGCCCCGTAAAGATCTATAAGCCCTACTACACGGTTTGAGGTTTTTTTTTAGGGTTTGGCAGCACAGCAAAGTTCAGGCTGCCTCATAATGGATTGCGTATACTGGGGTCATGTTTAGCATAACCCCGACTACCTCCTGATCCTTTACTTCAACAATCGGCCCTGAATCCAAGCCACAAGCCCTAAATCCTAAGGGCCAGAATGCTGAGCCCAACTGCAAGAAATCAAACTTTGACACCCTCTTGTCATTTCAGCATGAAGCACTTGTAGAATCTGGCCAGAAGACGCCTAACTCCAACTCCATAGAACCGTATACCCCGATGGAAGCCTTCCTAAACACTGTGCAAACGACAGTAAGACCCCGAAAGACACTCTAAACCCAACACCCTGCACCCCAAAACGGCAAACCCTGAAACTCAGGAAAATCGTAGCACAGGCCGCCCAAGTGAACGTCGCTCAGTGTTCGCACATCGCGGAATCCGAAGGACCGCAGCAGATGCTCCTTAGACGCTGAAGTTTCCGGCTTAGGGTTTAGGGTTTAAGGTTTGCATAAGAATGGCAATACTGTGGCAATACTACATGTTCTACGGCTCTCGAAGAGCATTTCGCTTGGCGAGCTTTGTAAAGCCAAGGGAGTGCTGAATTAAAACCAGGGCTCCTTTTCTTGCTCGATCTTATATGCAACGCAGGATCCTTCTAGGTGGATCCATATCAGGCTGCGCATTCGCATGCTTTAGGGGTTTCGCTGTTCACGTTGCTTTTGGGAACTTTGGTATCCCGTAGACACAGCATGGTGTGTCCTCGCGGGATTCTAGAATTCAGAGTGCATAGGCACTTGAAGGCTTAAGTACCTACTATATCAGTACATGGAGTGGCCCCTTTAGGGACTTCGGGTCTCACACTCTTCAGGGATATCTCCCTTTTGGACCTTTGGGGTGCCTAGCGGGGAGGTCCTCGTTATGGGTACCTCCCCTACCCCCTAGAGGACCCTTTGGGGGCAGGGGGGAGGGAGTAGGGGACTATACTTCCTTCAATAGGTTTAATAGTATTAAAGGGTCCCTATGAAAAACCTGAGTTGAGTAAGATAAGTACTGGTGAATTAGTGTACTAACGCTAGATACTTTACTTAAAGGAACTCATTGCATGCGGATTTCTTGTTGCTTGTGCAATCGCCCGGGGTTCCGGACTAGTTAACGATGGCATCGGCCATGTTTTGAGCAAAAAGGAACCCTGCACTGACTTCAGGTATCAGGTTGAAGTCACGCTGCAACACTTTGCCCCTAAACCCTAGACCCAGAACTTGATCTGCATTTGATCCAGCCGCAGTGAAGCCGAAGGACCCGAGAACGCTTTTTTGTTGAATCTGATGCAGCATATGGGCTGCAGAAAATGTCCTGAAACCACCTGAACTTATAAACCTCCACACAGGTCTTCCAAGGCTTGCACATAGAAGAGAGCATCGTTCTGCGGGCCCTTGAGAGCGTAGGAGGACCTCAACGGAGACGAGGCGGCAGTGTATCGTGTGATCGAAAGTCCGGCCAGTAATTATGGCAACACAGGCCCCGATTCTATCCATAAAGCCGCAAACGCAGATTGTAAAACATGTAAAACAGCTTCCATGTCGAGAGCTTCTGCTTGAAGTGTCACTGAGACCCAAGGGAGCGTCGATCTTCCAGGCCCTTATATAAGGGCCTTAATAATTAGAATAGGGTTTTGGGGCATCTTCTACCATACTCAGGAGCCCCACTAAGATAGTATAGGCACTATGAAAGCCCCTATATGATGGGGGCAAAGTGTCAACTTGGACCCTTCCTACCTCCTCTGCCTACTGAAATCTTCAGGCAGGAAGTCAGAACCCCCATCGGGGACTTCATTCACTTAGGGTCCTTTGGGATGCTGGCCTTCTTTCTTACCGTTGGTTAGTAGGGAATGGAAGAATGGTAGTAATAGTAGTTATAATTGTAACCCATTCCTCCATTCCCTACTAACCAGCGGTAAGCTTTGTCACAGATCTTGCAATTATGGGCGCTCGGGAAGCCTTCTTGACCTGGTGAGCGTCTTCCATGACTTCTGCCGAGTGGCCACGGGTAACAGCAGCTCCTTGGCAATCGATAACCCGGTTCCCTAATTCAAGGGTTTTGCATGGTTTTGCAATGTTTTGCAGTATCGGCAGTTCGTCTGAAGGTTGAGGAGGCAGCCGGGAGCTATGTCCCAGTCTTTGGGGAACAAAATGCCCGTGTTTCGTGCTTATAGGTATATACGGATTCACGGCATGCGTGCATGCATCAGTACATTTCACTATTCGGTTACGTAAGGTGCATATCGATGTCGATGTGAGAAACAAGCATGGAATGCAATGCATAAACACAGAGAGTGATACGTACCTATAATATGCCTGAGCCTAGACAAACCTAAACAGACACATAGCCCTGCGGTGCTGGACAGGCTGTTCGCAAGACATGCCATCTTTAAAGACCAGGGACTAACACCACGGCTTGCAAGTACAAAATGTGCTTGGCATTGGCAACACGCGACGACGTGTTCGGTACTTGCACATCCGTGGCAGTTTGATGCAAAGTCTCCCTGTTTAGTACGCGAAGCTAGTCAGCAGCAACAACTTCCTGTTTGGACGGCATCGCATATGCTGCTGTGCTGCGGTCTAGCATGGCTCGAACCGGTTTGACGCACATGAAAACAGGTTCGGTTAGAACGGTTCGAAGTGGCGCATATATGATCACAACCTCAGCTACCATTTCAGTGGTCTGAGGCTTCGAAACAGAAAAATCTACGGTGGGTAGTGTGGGCATTGGTCATTCCAACCTTGATAGCGAACCAGAGAACGAAGAACATGCCACACTATGGATAATTTAAGGTTTGGGTTTCAAGATACAGAAAGGAAGATGGATTCACAACTTCGGCATGCTCTGCTTGCCTCGAAGGCACACCACGATGCCCCTGCGGGTGGCAGGCCTTTTTGACATGAGCTCACGCGCTGAGCTGCCTGGCACGAATGTCGGTGGTTCAGTAAATTGGGGTCCCCTTGGGTTCCGTACTGTTTTGGGGACCTGCAAAGAGATGCTTATCTAGAGAACTGCCCATGCCAGGGTGGATGATTAGCGCTGAGGTCCCCAAAACTTTGCCCTGGCTTTAGGGTTTGAGGGGCACGACGATAATTAATGATGATATTCGCGTCGAGGCGCATCCTTTGGCTGGGCCCCACCGTCCCAGCCGACCCGCCCTGAGACCAGAGCTTGGGCCCAAACGCTGCAAGGCAGTCTGCGCTCCACACGCCGAACGGTTTTGCAGAGGGTTCGTCAAAAACGATACGCGTGCTAGTGATAGTGGTCATGCTGCGACAGTGGCGGCAATGACGAGGCTCAGGCCCATGAAGCTGCTGGCGGTCAGGATCGACAGCGACTGTTGTTGACGAGAGTGTGTACGGGACGACTGCGGTGCACTGATTGTTGCGGTGATGAAGGAAATTGTGCCAATCGGTACAAGTATGTGATAATGATGGTGATAATGGTGTCGAAGATGATGATGCGGATGATGGCCAATGATGCTAGTCCGATGCTGATGCCGATGCTACGGCTGTTGCTGCCGCCGGCGCAGATGGGGCATGAAGACTATGATGAAGATATGGTGAAGAGCATGAGGCTGAGGAGGGCGACCACGATGATGCCGCTAACGATGATGACCCTGTTGTAAGCTTCTTTAGAATCGTCCCCGAAGCTTGCATGCAACAGGGTCTCTCCCCTCATGTTAGTTGCTGCTCTTAAAACCGAAATCCCATCAAACCTTATAGACCTCCCATCTATGTCTTCAGAAACATTGTAATGGCTAGTACATACTATGTTAAAGTTTTTATCCGAGTCCGAAAGACCATTATCGGGGACTGCTCCGGCTCCAACATTAATTACAGTTCCCCACGTGCTTGCCTTTGCGTGCAAGCGCTCACAATGTGCACTGAATCATGTCTGGAAGCGACCATGCTATAGCTATATACTGACTCCGAATACAAATGAACGACGGGTGTGGAAAACCTCAACCCAAACCCAAGTCGGAGTCAAGGGTTCTTGGTGCAAGGTCTAGTTTCGGCGCTCACACTCGGACAAAGGTCTAGTCTTCTAGCTTGAGCAATCACGTCCACTAGTGCAAAAGCTTGAGCAGTTTCCTCAGCTCTGGGCACGGGTCAGCATCTGGTTGCGCTTGGAGGCCCGTGCTCTGCAAGGGCCGCGGTAATAGGATAGTCGAACAAGGCTCAAGGAGACTTCTTTGGCCCAGACATCCGTCAGTTTTCGAAGGATGATGTGGCTGAACACAACGCCGCCGTTGTGGTCTCTGTCGGGGCAGCTTGAGAAGCAAGGGGAACTTGCAAAAACACAAGCAAGCCCGATGACAGCAGTGGCACCAGCCTCGGCGCGAGCCGCTTGGAAGCAAAAGGCACACAGTAGACTGGTAAGATGGCTTCTTCGGGAGTACTTGAAGGCTGAGGGATTGCAGCACACAGGGGATTACTGTACTACCATCACCCTCGGATCTGGTTGTAGTTGAGACGTCTGACTTACTACCCCACCGTCGGAACAAGCTACATGGGAGTTTCCGAAAATAGGGGACCATGAAATAGTAGCCTAAATAGTAGGATCCTTGGAGCTCGCACATCGTCCCCGTCCCCGAGCCTCCAAGTACCAAGAGCGTGGCACGCGAGCCCTGCAGCTCCAGACTTCAGACGCTGCTTGAAGGTGGTCCAAGACTGACGTTTAGGGTTTCGGGTTTAGGGTAGTTTAGGGTTTAGGGTAGTTTAGGGTTTAGGGTTGAAGCTTTAGCTCATCTTAATGCTCATAATGCCATGAGCATGCATGAAGCAGAAACGCCTCGAGAAATCTCAGCTTTCTTGGCACTGTGCACATAGTCGGTCCAGACTCCCGGTATCCACTCTTGACAGTGAGCTGCACAAAGCAGGCTTCGCAAACCCAGTTCATCACGAAGCTTCGCAAACACCATGTGCACGTTGTCCTCAGCTTAGCCACTGATCAAACTCCTTAAGCCCTGGGCCCTAAACCCTATTAACCTTCAGGATCAACTCGGCGGCATGAAGCTTTCCAAGCCACGGCTCAGGTCAACTGATCCGCTTTCTCAACATCCTCTGGTCGCAATCCCCAGGGAGGCGGCAAGTAAGCCACTTTGTCGGCCTCAGGAATTTACATTCAATCGTAGTCTCACCGCCTTAAGCCAAGCCCCTCTACGGCAAGCCTGACATAATAGTTATGATGATAATAATATTAATAGCACTGATCATAATAATAATACTAAAAATACTAATGACAGAGAAAATGCTAGTAATAATAACAACGTAGTTTCGAGAGGTGTCCGGATGAATCTCCCCTGAGCTTCGGCCCTTGGGGGCTAGCGAGTGACGCCATGTGCGGCTCCACCGATTCGCGTTTTGACTTGTAGGAGTTAGGATTAGGCCATAAGTGGGGTTAAAGAAGGGTCCCCTTTAAAGGGCCTCCCGAATACTACCTAGCAACTTTGCTGAAGGCTAAACTCGCCTTACCGTACATACGGGCAAAGAGGCCTCCTTTAAGAGCTCGGGCAGCCAGAGCTCCGTTCCATGCAGCTTCTGCAACCGGTCCTGCTGGAAAGATGGCGAAACCCCGACCGACACGCAGGGCTTTTGGGCTTCAAAGGTTTCAAGATTCGGTGTGTAGCTTCATTGCACGACGAGAATGATGAAGCAATTAATGAAGACGAGGCAGTACACCCCCCAAACCTTCATCGCTGAACCCCTACACGAGAAGCATGGCAGTCTCCTCATCTGGAGCGACCTCAGCTTTCAGATCTTCGACGCTATGCCATGCCCGGACAGGTGGCTGCGCATCCTCCAGGGAACAGGCTCTGGGGCATTGAAATCAGTTTTTACAATTTTGTATGTTTAGCCCGGCCACTTCTAGGAACCCATAGAAACCCTTCTAGAAATTCTTGTAGGAATACTTCTGGGAACCCTGAAAGGGACCCTATGAACCCGAGGCCCTCCACCCTGATCTCCCGTCCTGTCGCCACTGCTCCCTGAGGGAGTTCAGCCGCAGCAGGAGGGAGCTGGACCCCTTCTCAAGCTCTGACGACCTCCCGGACAAAAGCATGGGGTTAAGGGGTTGCGAGGGCATGAGAGTCACCATAGGGGGGCGACTTAAGTTGGACCTTTGGTGCTTTGGGTTTGAGGCTTCAAGTGTTGAGGGTTCAGGGCTTGTTGTGTCAGGTTTTGGCAGTCAAGTTTTCGGGTTTTGCTAGAAACTCAAAAGCTGTCAGCTCCGTGACCCATATCAAGGAATCCTCGTCACCTCGTCTAAGTCAAGGAATACTTCTTCAGCTGCGGGGATTTGTAGGCTCCGATGAGGGTTCCTTCAACCTCCAACCAAGGCGAGACATCATAACAACAACACGTTTCTTAGGATTCAGGGTCTCGTTGTAGATTTAGGGCTTAGTAGAATTTGGGGCTTTGGGTGTGTTGTTTCGGATCTTGCAAGCAAGTACCTAACTTTTTTCATGGAAGACACTGAGGTTGTAGCCTGAAAGCATGAGACCTAGAACCCAGGCCAAGATCCATAGTTCGCGCCCCTCGAGCCAGAAACCCGAAGCTACAACCCGCAGCCACAACAAAGTGGCAAAACTGAAACAACCGTAGAGAAACTCTGTTAATCCTCAAGAAATACCGCTAATTTTAATTTTTTTGAAGTTGCATGAACTGGACAGGGCTTATGCTTCTGCTTCCAACAACTTTCTGTACTAGAATCGGGCTGGTCAGGACCCTGTGAACCGAGGCCGGCAAAAGCTGAACCCAAGTCTGAGCTCTACATCCTAAACTTGCCATCCTGTGACCCCTATGACCATAAGGACCCTAAGGGGGGTACGGGGCCATACCTATAATAAGGACTTAATCAGGGCCGTTTCAAGGAAGTAGAGTCCCCTACTCCGCTCCCCCTTACCCCCCTAAGGGTCCCTATGGTATGACCATAAGCTCCTTGAGCCAGAAGAAATGATTACATGTTTCATGGCCCTTTGGGTGTTTACGGTGGCAACTACAGAACCACGAACTACTGTTGATGGACAAAATCCTGCAGTACCCACTATAGGTATATACCATAGTCCCCATAGTTCAGAGTCCTTAAGGTCATGCAGGATTTTGTCCATCAGCAGTACCATTCTTAAACAGTATTCCTAATGAGTAATGAGCGAAGCCGAGATCTGGGCTTCAGAAACCAGCTAGTAGGCACATTCTCAGTATTATGGCATCTGTACACGCAAAAGCCCGTTCCAATTAGCATTTCTGGGATTCTGCCTGGGCGGCGGTGGCGTCCTTTGGCTCAGCAGCTGTGCCCGAGGCAAACCCAGGCCGATTCCCAGCGAGACCTGAGAGAGCAGCGGTCTCTTTTGACTGTCTGGTGCTAAGTAGGGAATTGGGGAATGGATCCCTGTAGTAGTCCCTATATATAATCATCTCCATAATCGATTCTCCCATTCCCTACTAAGAACCAGACAGTTGAAGGTGTTCTGGGTTTTACATGGTCTTTTTCAAACGTTCAGCATCTTTTAGGCTTGAACGGTGCTTGCTACGTGATGTAATGTTTGTTCCCTTCAGGTTCAACGCCGCCTCGGCTCGTCGGACCTTACTTTTCGGAGGGAGGGTAGAGACGAGTCAGCACATCGTCCTGCGACCACGACACCTCTCCTTCAGCCAGCTCCCAGCCCTACTCTCCTACATCATGTCTACTTGCAGGGGCAGGGGACTTAGTAACCGGGTTATAAGTAGAGTTGTAAGTGCCCCTGCCCCTCCAAGTACCTCTTTGCGAATGATGGCACGTAGCAGCTTGTGCATGTTCTTTGCTCTTCGGTCGTGGCGCCTTCAGCGCCGCAGCTTCGTCATCCAGCCCGCTGGGCAGCGTGAGAGGCTGCTTCTCGCGCGGATGAGTGGCTTGAAGGGGCCTGAGCTTTGAAGTATTGAGGTGGAAAAGTATAAACTCCTGTAGCATACAGTATCCATAAGTATATTATTTTATAACGGCTCCTAGATGTAGCAGGTCCCCCAAAATACTGCTAACGTATGGTACTCCAAAACCCAGGGGCTCAGGCTTCTCCGCTGGCGGCGATGTGCCTGGCAATCAGCACTAGGCTGAGACAATCAGCACAGGGTTCCGTTAAGGGATCTATAGGGTTTAGGGCTTGGCTCTAATATCCCTTGATATTCAGGAACATACCTCAAATTGTTTTAGACATGCAGACAACAGTCTCCAAAACGCATGCTGCAATAGTATTGGCTACGTGGGGATGATACGACTAGCGAAACCGCGGGCCCACTGCTTGCCACAACTCAAGATGCAGCATACTCACCACACCGTAATAATTACGGTTTGGATTTAGGGTTTACCTATAGTCTGCATTGTAGTTCCTTTTAGGGGTTATAGAACCAAATATATAATTAGGATCTTAAAAGGTAACCCCAAAAAGGAACTACAATGGAGACTACAGGTAGGGTTTAGGTTTAATATCCGCTGCCAACCCGTGGCGTTCCGAGCCTCCTGCCGATGCCACCGAAGCTGCCGAAGAGCGCCGGCGCGCCGAGCGCCCGGGACGATCCGGAAGGCGAAGGCCTTGAAGGTCTGTGTGGTGCTTTCAGGGTTAAGGGTTTAGGGGTTTAAGGGTTTGGGGCTTCAGCATTTAGGGGGTGTGGGGGTTTAGGGTTTAGGTCTTTTTTGTCTTCAGGGGTCTGGGGTTTACGGTTTGGGGGCTTCAAACTTCATAAAAAGGGGACGGGACGTCTGATAAATGGTACTGACGACCGTGCCGGTGCCAGAATCACAAGAGTAAGAAAAGTCTGAAATAACACTAGAAGGAACGTTGGCGATGTTGCAGTGCTGCTGCGCTGCTGCTGCTGCTGCTGCTGCTGCCGCTGCCATCACACTCGCGAACAGCATCGCCATCACCAAACCCGAAGCTTTTCCAAACCATTTATTATACATTCAAAAATCCGAAGCCGTACAGCCCCATGACCCTTTTTGCCACGGGACTCTCTAGCCGCTAGCCAGTCTACGACCCACAATCATCTTGACCGAGGCCAATGACCCTCAAAACCCTGAAGCCACCGAGGCGCTGCTGCGCCGCGAGGCGCCAGGGCTCGTGGGCAGCCCGTGGAGCTCTTGGAGCTCTTCTTGGGGCGACTTTTGGGGCTCTGAGGGCGACTTTTGAGGCTTTTGGTGCTCTTGGTGCGAAGGTTGGGGCTGTTCGCCTTGCAAGGGCGCCGGATTTTCGTTGGGAAGCTCTAGATCCGAGCTTTGGGGAAGAAGGGACGGCTGGGAGAAGTGTGGAGCTGCGGATAGCGCTGCATCTGCTGTGGGAGGCGCAGCAGGATCTTTGCTGGAAGTGGAGACCGAGGATAAGAGGAAGGGATCTTCCGAAAGGCTCGAATCCATCTGACTCTGGGGAATTGGGCCTGAGGACTCTGGCGGCTGATGCTGCCAGCTTCTCCTCTGCAGTCTTGGTGGGTTCCCTGATGCTTTTGAGCTTTTCTCTGCCTGAAGAAAGCCTGAATCCATCTGACTCGTGGGAGTTGGATCCGCCACAGTCTGCGCACCTAACTCGGGAGGGTGTTGCAAGCTTGTTCGCTGCGCTTCGACGGCGCTCCTTTGGGCTTTGGGGCCTTTCTTCTCCTGATCCTCTGCGTCAGGAGACCTCCGAATACCCGACTTCTCTTCCTTCGCTTCTTCGGGCTTCTTTTGCAGCTGCACCGCGGCCTCGGCAGTGGAAATTGCAAGGAGACTGATTGACAGCTCTGGACGTAAACATTGCGCTAGGACCAGGGACCATCATAGCCTTCATCTCACAAGCATATCTGCATATCCGAAGATACGACCATGAAATACCTGGTCATGTTGGTAAGCCAGGGAAGATGATCATGGAGATGCATTTCAGCAGACGAGCAACCGCGAGGAAGAACAGGAAGAAGGGCATGCTGAGCGACGAGACAGGGCAAGTTACGAAGACGGGCACAATCCCAAAACTGCCTTGGCTCGGTCCGGGCGTGGCATGCGCAGCCTCTGCGGCCCTTGGCCACGGCTGGCAGTACTGGTCGAGGGCACGGCCTGAGCAGGGCAGTGCATAGAAGGCCTCGCGGCAGACAAATTCCGTTCCAAACGGGATACCTATGGAATCATGTTTCTATCAAGATACAGCTTCACTTTGAAATATGCACACGCCTTCAGTTTCATACATACCACACTCGAGGAGCCCCCTCCAAGGATCCAAAACAAGAATCTCCGAGCACTCTGGACCCTAAACTATAAACGCTACACCCCACCCTCTGAACATCTCTAAACCCTACCTGGACCCTAAGGAACCTACCTTTTTAGGGTTCCCTAATATGATTTCTTTATATAAGTCCTTAAAAAGGTAGGTTACGTGGGGTTAAGGTAAACCCTGAACCCTAAACTCTAAACCCTGGCCTTCAGCAATTTAAGACCCAGGTCTCCGGCTCTGGGGAGACGATCGGTGCTCAAAGCCTCGAAGGCCCCAAAACCCCAAAGCGCTAGCATCCGAAGACACGAAATACCGAGGCCCAAAACCCCAAGCCCTAACACCCAACGACCCGAAAGCCCTAGACTCTAGACCCCCAATAAACCCAACACCTTTCCTTCTTGAACTTATACTGAGGCCGAAGCACCCTGAACTTGCCCTTAACGCCCGAAGCCTTAAAGCCTCGGAAGCCCTGATGGATGCCTCAAGCCACCTACTTCTCCAGTATCCAAGCGGAACTAAAGATTCTCGTTGGGATTACAATACCCCCCAAAGAGGTTGAAGGCTAAAGGTTACCTACGCTACTACGAGCACTATGCACAAACTCGAAGGCGAACCGACAGACAGACACCCCCAACCCGCAAGCCAAAGCTGGCAGATATGGCACGCATCACCGTCTGCCTTGGCCCTTATATAATCCTCAACTTCTACAGCCTTAAACCCAAAACCCTGAATACAAGAACTTAAGCCCGGAACACTTCGTCCTTTCTTTAAAGCACAGACTTGCAGTGCATGCCGGCAGCGAAGCTCCAGGGTCCTACACCCGAAACCCTGAATGCTAATTCCCAAATCTTAAAATTCTTAGATCCCACGAACTAACCCTACTTGGAGGATCATGGGACCTAGTAAGTAAGGTTCTAGGTTCCTTAATTGGGGGTTATAAGTAGTCATAAGTATTGTTTTCCATAATTATACCTCTAGTTACTAAGTCCCATGATCCTCTAAATAGCGTCCCACTTAAAGTCTTACCTAAGTAATTCGCCACTGGGCGGATTACATATTTATTCGGTGTGTAAGCGGCGAGATACTTGTTAGCACTACCTTACTTGACGACTTAGAGGCCCAGGGAAACTTGTAAGTAGGTTATCAGTAGATCGAGTTACAAGTACCCTTAACAATGGAGTTCTCGCAACTATAACCCTACTTACAACCTACTTACCAATTCCCCCTACCCTCTAAGTACTATAAGTAGAACCCTTATAGGATCCTTACGGAATGCCTTAAAGGAACCCTTCGAGGGATCCCTTAAGTACTCTGCGAAGGCCTTAGAGCAACTTCAGGTTTCGGCGCCTGCGTCTCCTCCGCAGCCTGCGCCGAGACCGGCGCCCGTGCCCTCTTCGACAAGCCTCCGTGGGGTGTGGTTTTCATGGCTTTTTTTCGGGCTTCAAGGCTTCAGGGTTTGAGGGCTTCAGATTTCGGGCAAGGGTTTAAGGATTAATTAAGGGCCTAGGGTTTCAGGGTTTGAGGGCTTAGGGTTTGGGAGTTCGCAGCTACGGTTGATTTACGGGCTCTGCTCTCACAACTCGGACTGGCCAGGCGAGGTCTCTTGGTGCGCGGGTCGCGTGTGTCAGGATTTCGGTTTTCAATGGCGGAACACACAGAATCCTGCAGCAGCCCGAAAACTGCTGATGTGATAATGTGACCATGAAACACAAAGTTGCAGATAAACAAAACCTATGCGAAGACAGAATCACCCGCAGTGCAACGGAGAAACCGGGCAGCCTAGGTAATCATGCTCATGCGACACATGGTTTCAGCACTTACACTCGGACAAGCCCAGCCGGGGGAGGTTTATGGTCCAGGGTTTGGTGTGCAATGACCATGACATTACTGTGAGGAACTTCGTGGAACTTTTTGCAACATAGTACCTTTATGGCATTTTATAGCCCTATATATGGTTGGAACATCGCACCTTGAAGACCTTTCTCTCGGAGAGCCTTTCGCCGCTGCGGCTCCGTGCTGAGCTCTCCGATCCTCGGATTTCTGAGGATCCCAGCGCTTACGGAATTTCTTTCAATTGCGTCTCGCAGCTTCCTGTGTCACTATGGCCCGAGGAAGGCGGACAGAAGGTAGACTCTTGAAAAAGTAAACTTTCTTCGCTTGAAGGCCTTAATATTCGCATCCTCATGCAGTACCATTATTACCATTCGGGTGGTTTCGTTTACAAGTATTTCGTGCTAATGATTGCAGGGGTTTAGGCACTTTGAATTTCGGATGTATGGTGTACTGTAGGGGTGTTCCGGGCGTGCCGTCCACGACCTCCTTCAATCAGCCCTGAAATCCTGCAATGTTTGACATCATGGCCCCTGCTCCATGCCGTTCCCGACAAGTAGAGAGCTTGTCTACCCAAGCTTAACACTACAAGGCCGCTGTCCTGGCAAGATTTGCATGTGCATTTTTCATACACAACCAGGAAGAGCTGTGCCCATCAGCACAGAGCCTGAGATTGAATGCCTGCAATTGCTACAAGTACGGGCAGGTTCACGCTTTACGTCTTTCAGGCTTTGCGCTCAACGAAAGTTCCTGTTCGAGATGCAGGCTTGCACTGTGCTGCGCAAGTCCAGCCGCAATGGATGCCCCATTGACGGTGAGACCGAAGCATTGCAGCTTCAGCCAAGATATAGCACCACGTCACAAGGCAGGCTTGTGGAGGTCAAGAAGCCGCGTCAAGCTCTATTTTGCGTTTTTTCTGCACTGGTTCCGGCTTGTGCTCCCCCCGCTGCACAGCATCGTCTGCGACAGGAACACATGTAAACTTCGTCGAGGAGCGCGCCGGAGTGGCGAGACCGCCCATGCGGAGCCAGGGCTCATTCAGGGTCTCTTGGATGCTGATGCGCTCGCTGGGATTCAGCGCCAGCAGCTTGCGGATAAGATCTTTCGCTTGTTCAGAGACTTCCGAAAATTTGGGAACATCGAACTGCCAGCAGCCGTGTAGGATCTGCATCTCAAGGTCCTCATCCTCGAAAGGTTGCATGCCACCGAGCATGATGTAGAGATTGATCCCAAGACTCCACATATCCACCGGCTTGCCATAGCCGCAGTTTGGGTCCTGAGCTGCGCGAATCACCTCTGGGGCGAAGTAGTGAGGCGATCCGCAATAGGTGTGGCAGTCCATCGATTTCATGTTGATTCGGGCAAATCCGAAGTCCGCAAGCTTGGGAATCATCGTGTCCCGGTCCTTGCTGGTTAAGAGGATGTTGTCTGGCTTCAAGTCCTGGGTTCACGGTTTAGGGTTCAGGGTTTAGGGTTTAGGGTTTGGGGTTTAGGGTTTAGGGTTCAGGGTTTAGGGTTGTGCTTTAAACATTTGAAAACTATATATGAGTAGGTTTCCCCTTGTAAGGAAATAAGGGGAAATTCAAAATTTATCCCAAAGGACAACCCAGAGTCTCTATGCACCAGATTCATCGTGACATGGAGGTACCTGGACTTCGAAGTAACCAGAGGGAAAAAAGTATAGACTTTTATTTCATAATGGTTCCTTTAAGGAACAGGTACCCCAAAAAAGTATTCAACTATGACAAAGGTGCTTCACTGCACCACAGATCTGCCGGAAGCTTCGTAGCGCCTGGGTCTCGCTCAGGCAGCCCCCAGACATCAAGTTGTGCAGCAGGTCCTCACCTCGGATCCCCAGTAGCCTAGAGTAGAAGTTTAGGGTTTAGGGTTTGGGGTTTAAGGCTTAGGGTTTGCCGTAGAGTGGCGCAGAAGCGGAAGTAGCTTGCGACAGTGTATTGTCGAGTGCGTCGTAATATGACGATTAGCTGTTGGAGCCTGATGGTGGATGGCTCTTTCTTTTAACTCTCCCGCCCCACGCCGTCTAAGGCGGCCAAACCACCCAAACCTATTCCTTTTGGGGTTTAGCACCTAAACTCATTCGATGGTTTTCTTTATTTCTTTAGACTAGGCCCACACCAAGAAAGGAGGGGACCTCGACTTTGGCAGAAAATGCACATTTTATGAACAGATAAGAATAGGCAAAAACCAGCAGCAGGTCGGGGCAAGGCAGGGCAGGCGGGGGGGAGGGGGGTCAGGGTCATCGGGGCGTGGGGGCACCTGGGGGCTGGGGGGCCTGGATGGAAGAATTTTTCCACCAAAAATTGCAATTTTGTCCAGGTCTCCAGGTCCCCGAACTCTGCTCGCTGCAGCACCCGACTTGGGTTTAGGGTTTTTTGATAGGGACCAGTGCTGGTCCGGGCCCATCGTGGGTGCGACCGTCCCCATGGCTGTGGAAAGGCGGGCAAGCGTATTGGGTCGCTCTGCGCCATCGAGGTCGAGGGGCTTAAGCGCCGCCCACCCACGGAGGTGGGCGGCCTCTAGGCCGTTTAGGGTTTGGGGTTTAGGGTTTAGGGTTTGGGGTTTAGGGTTTGGGGTTTGGGGTTTAGGGTTTGGTGTTTGGGGTTTAAGGTTTAGGGTTCGGGGTTTAGGGTTAGGGTTTAGGAATAGAACGGGCTCCCTTTCTGGTACTGGGCAGCTTCATCAGGAACCTAAGACCACAAAGTGGGGAAAAGGGCCGACTGGCAGACCTAGCCACCATGGATCAACTCCAGCGCAAGGTAAATATGAGTCTCCGTCTGGAACCATTCAAGGCACCTGGGTTCTTGCTAAGGGGCTTAGTTTACGTTACCATAATAAGGAAAGCATCTTATTTACTGTAGGTCCCTATTATGGTAAGTTAAACATTTCACCCTAAAGACTTAACGGAACTCTTATAGATCCCTTAAAGGCGCAATAGATCCCTATTATGGTAACTTAAATAAAGCCCCTATTTACAAGAACCCCACACGCTTCACTCTTAAAGGAACCCTTATAGAACCCATGAAGGGAACCCTTGTAGATCCCTTAAAGGAGCCCTTATGATGGTAACTCCCCTTAACAAGAGCCCAGGCACTTCACAATGTTGGGGTGACGAAGGCTGCTCATCAACTCTGGCTCCTGGTTCAAATTCTCTCCCGAGGAGCGCTTCCTCTGGAATTTCCTGGGCTTTACCCTAAACCCTAAACCCTAAACCCTAAACCTTTAGGGCTTTAGGGTTTTTTTTGTTTAAGGGCTCCTGTTCGACCTGCAGAGTCACCTGCTGTAGGCAACTGGGGCTTTAGGGTTGAGGGCTCAGGGTTTGTTAAGGGACTTATATGATTTCAGTTGCATAATTGTTAGGGTTTAGGGATGTTTAGGGTAAATAACATGGGTCTCTGTATTCTGGTAAGTTAGATGAAATCCCGTAACAAGAACCCAGCTTCGTCAACTTCCTCTTGTCGATGATCTTTATGGCGCACCTCAGCCCTGGCATGAGCTCTTCTGAGATCCCCTTCTTGCTGCGCACGCCCAGCTTTACCGTGCTGAAAGCGCCACCGCCCAATTTCTGCGAGATGTCCCACTGCCTCCTCACCCAGCCGTCTGTGACCAGATGCCGAAGCTCGCAATCCGATGTATCAATGTTCACTTTGGCCAAGTCTGCTCCTGCTTGTGGTGCTCCTGTCTCAGTCTGTCCTGTCGTGCGAAAGAAGAAGGATGCGAAAGGAATTATATCGGCAGAGAGCTGGCGTGTAATCGTGATGGCATCACCATGGTTGAGCACGCGTCGCTCCCCCTTCTTCAGGTACTGTGTATTAATGAATGTCCCCGCAGGGCTGAGCTGCTCTATGAAATAACACCGCTGATCATCACGATAGATCCGTAGATGCTTCTTGGACACGTGCATGTCCTTTGCTTGGATTTCGCAATCCGGCGAGCGCCCAAGGAAGACCTCGCTGGCACCTTCCAGCTCGAATTCGAACTTCTCATTGCCTTTGGTGGAAAAGACTACCGCATGGCAAGTCTCCCCAGCGGCCTGCGACTCCACATTGAAGCCCTGCGTTGCCTGCGTCACGGTCTCCGACTGGGTCGCTTGGTCCTCTTCCACGGAGCCATCGGTCATGCCTGCGAATGGCAGTACTCCTAGCGTCCACTGGCCCTCATAAAATGAATGGACGGCCAGCACTTTTGAGCCAATGCAATCAACATGTTTCGTGTGCAGTCGCTGTGCTGGCAAGCAACTATCATAGTTACCCGCCTCTCCCAGCAAGAGACTCCTCCACTTCTCGTGATACCCGGTGGCAATGCAGCTTTAGTGATGCAGCTTTACTGGGCATGTGTTGTGCTGATTCTGTGGTAACGCGGCAACCGTGCACGCATGATGCTAACACTGGGTCAACCAATCCGCAACAGCTGGATGTGCTGCAAATCTTGACTTTTCTGGCATATAGTGCTGACTGACGCTTTGAAAATGTAGTCAGCGGCGTTCGGCGGGACATGGAGCATAAGTATTAGCGCTGGGTTCATGCGGAGACTCCTGGACCAGCGAATACCATAATGTTTCCACATCTAGACCTGCCGGAAGCCCCGAACCTTAAAGCAAACTGCCGCAAAGGATCACTTGGATCAGCTTTTGCGACTGGGAATGCAGCACCGATCGGATCACCCGTGGCAGGATGTACCTCAACGGTTCCGTTTGAGTTCCAGGTCGGGAGTGTATGGTTTGGGGGCGGGCTGGGTCTTGGGGCCTAAGGCCCTAGACGTGTTCCAAGAGATGGCTCCGGGCTGCTGGATGAGACCGGAGCTGAAACGAACCCGGGCCATCACGACCACCTCGCAGAAGTCACATCACACTGCGGCCATCCGAGAAGCATGGGCGTTGTGCTCTGGGGGGTTAGGCTTTAGGGTCTAGGTTTTGTGCAAGCCAGCACAATTCATGTGATTGTTCAGTGTCCTTTATTGCCACTCTGAACCATCACTTCCATATCACCTATCCCTTGCGCTTCCGCTTTCCAACATCGATGCAGAGCCTGCCCGAGCTATCTAAACCCATCTCTAACGCCTGTGCTAGTCTCAGAGGGAACTATGTCCTCCAGTTTAAAGCCACGACCTAACTCTAAGCATGGCCTTCTTGAGCTGTTACGTCATTTTTTAGCTAAATGTTATAAGCTGACTAAGTACACTTTAGACGTTAGACAACAGAACCCGTTCCTCCACTTCTTCGAGGCCTACAACTCTTTACGGTTGCCTTCGTCTGCCGCTCTGGGTTTGGCGCATGTCGCACCTCGGGGCTTAGGCTCACTCAGCTGAGGGTTGATTATTACTTGAAGACTTAATTAGGGTGTTGGGTTTAGGGATTAGGGTTTAAGGTTTTCAAACAGGGATTAGGGTTTAGAGTTTTGGGCTAAGCGTTTAGGGCTTAGGTTGTAGGCTTCAGGATTTAGGGTTAGGGGCTTTGGGCTTTAGCGCTTAGGGCGCGGAGCATTGAGATTTGAGAACACAGGCAGGCGCGGCCCAGGGTTGAGGGTTTGGGTTTAAGGTGGCCTTTGTGCTCACACTTCTGTCAGCTTGGTAGATTGGGCACGGTAAATGCATGGCAAATCTGATAACTGAAATTTCGATTGTTAGCTTGCAGGCTTCTGAATCAAGAGCTACGGTCTAACAACCCACTCCTTGGCTTTGGACAGAAAAGGAGAACCTTTAATGAGAATCGTGGGACGTTCAGCCTTTGGACGCAAAATGATGCCTACAATCAGTATTGGTACCTGAATAAGTAGTGAGATGAGTCCTTAGGACTCTCAATATACATATGTATACACTGCTCGCATTTCTTACAAGAGCTGAGTGTTCATCCACTCCTTTCCAACGTTGACAACGATTTGTGGTTTAGGGTCCTGTCTAGGGTTTCGGTTCCAGACAGTGCACGGTTCGGACAGGTCCGCGCTTTCCCCAAATCCATCCGTGTCGTGTGTATGTTTGGGCTGCACCGGCGCATGCCATGAGACCGGACTTTCTGTGCGCATTTCTGTGTGCAAGAGTTCTTAGAGTTCTTGAAACTTCGCGGCCCTGTCAGAAAGCTGCAGATCAGGGCCACTGCGACCATATCGGGTCTATTCTTGGATCATGTCCAGAAGCTCCCCCCTAGGGAATGTTGAACTGTTCAGCCATGGCGCCAACCCTACGGCGAAGGCGACCGCCTTGTAGCAACCTGGTGGACATCGTCAGGTGATGAGTGAGCCGGTGCATTTCAACGGTCATGACTCTAGCTTCGAAACCCGGGTGCATACCAGCCAACTCTCAGAAAAGTTCATGCGCCCAGGCAGAAAGTGAACCCTAGTGCGAAGCATAAACCTGTTAATAACCCTGAGGCTCTCAGGACCCACATTTTGAGGCTTTTGGGCCTAAAGACCATGTTCTATAGGGCTCTGAGGATTGAGCCTTAGGTAAGGGTGCCTTCGTGTGAGGGGAGACCGGAGACTGCCATCGATGCCGGCTGCCACAGGACCACGTGGCTCCAGTGGCTCAGGCCTGCCACGTCCTGTGGCTTCTCAGGGTGGTTCAGGGTTTAGGGTTTTAGGGCTTAGGGTTTTAGGGTTTAAGGCTTTAGGGTTCAGGGTTTGGGGTTGTGGGCTTAGGGCCGGTTTCGGCACTTCTCGGTTTGCGCGCGTCATCCTTGCGCAGGGGCCATGCTAATCTTCTCAGTCTCGTTCCAATTTTATCGGGTGATCCCCAAGGGAATGGTTTAGGGTCAAGGATTTAGGGCGGCTTGTGGTTCTGTAGGATTGGATCGGATGGTTTTCAAAGCAACATCGAAGGTGGTTGTCGCCTTTAGCGCTAAAACTTGAGCAAGGTATTCGGCGGAAACCTGAAACACCTGATACGGTAAATCCCTGAATCATAGTCTCTAGTAAGGCCATAAAATCCACGAAAAAAGGTGCGGGCCAAATGGTGGCGCGAGCCACGTCACCACCTTAACATCCAGCGTCCAGAGTCGCCACCATCCCTTATTCTACTGCCCTTGCTTAGCAAGTAACGGGGACCCGTATCATACTGTTGATGGACAAAATCCTGCATGACCCTCATGACTCTAAACTATGGGAACTACGGTATATTCCTTATTGTGGGTGATGCAGGGTTTTGTCCATCAACAGTAGGACAGCTTGGGTAATGTTTCAATTTCAACTATAGCACGGATCCTTCCTAGCCCCAAGCACGCGAGCCCAAAACCATAAACGCGCAAATCCTAAACCCTTAAACTCCAACCCTTGGTAAGTTGACGGTTTGGAGGTTAGGAGCGCCTAAACCCCTGCACCCCAACCCTCAATACGTTGGCAGCGTTTAAGCTTACTTGTCCGGTATCCTGGGGAACTACAGCTTGGCCTTTCCGGTTACTATACCCCAAGTCAAGAAGATAAGGGTTACTTCGCTTCAGTAGTAATTAAGTCTAAGTAAGCAAGTAAGTAACTAAGTAGGTAAGTAAGTAAGTAAAGGTTGGGGATACCCTTTTGGCATCCGGGCCATGGTCCTGGCCGAAAGAGAACACGCACGTGCGGCTGCAATACAGGTCTCGAGGTTTGCATGAGACACAGCACTAGGGATACCCTAAGCCCTTTTTTTAAAAAAAAACACCCGGACTATGCATATGCCAGGCGCCTCATACCCTAAGCCCTAGACCCACAACCCTCAACCCTAAGCCCTCAACGCTAAACCCTAGCTAGCAACCAAGGGTTGGGGCGGGGATGACGAGATATGGGAGTTTCCGAAAATAGGGGACCCTAATATAGTACCCTAACGAGAAGGAACCTTATTATAAGGACCCCAAAATAAGGTACCCCTGTATTCAGAAACTCCCATATCAGATATCAGAGCTGGCCTTGCACTCCTGGCGCTTGCGGTCGAAGGCCTGCAAGGGGAAAGCTTGTCGAGGGCACAGGGTTCGGGACTTCGGTGTTCTGGGTTCAAGCGCAGTAGGGGGCTGGGGACTGTAGAGCTTGGGGGTCGGGGATTTTCGGCGCTCACACTCGGACAATCCAGGCGAGGCATCGGGGATTTTACGGTATAGGGCTGGGGCTTTAAAGGTGGTTGTCAGTCGGGTTTAGGGTTTTGAGGTAGGGGGTAGGTATGTATGCATAGCAGGATTCAGGGTGCAGGATTCAGGGTGTAAAGGTTGCAAGCACGTTCAGTGAATGAACTTGCACAAACATGCCGTGAGCATTCTCGAGTTCCAGCACGTTTGGGCCTGCTGCGCGTCCCACTGGAGGAACTCGTGCGCAGCCAAACCCATCATCGCTTCGAACTTGAAAGACCTCACGATCTTTTAGGGTCTACCTTTAAGGACCGAGCGCACTGTGAATCCCCATATGCAAAGTGCACCGTAGAGGGTGCATTTCGTCCTCAAGCCAGCTCTCTCTCTCTCTCTCTCTCTCTCTCTCTCTCTCTTCGCTTGGCATTGAGGCCGGTTGGTATGTGGCCAGGAGCACGGGTGGGTTTTGCTTTGCAGGGCTTTTCACGAAACTCCCAGTTTTTAAGAACAACCACCATAGTTCGTAACAACAGACTAGCCATTGTAGGCTTTTGAGGCCGGCCCATCTTCGCGGCTTTGTAACGAGAAAGCAGCCAAAGACAACATGAGTCCCACCCTGGATGCGCACCTACAATCCCCACAACTGCTGCGCCTCTGAAACCTTCAAGCCCGGCCCGCGCTCCGAGGCATCTGGAAACATCCCGAAGCCCTAGGCGAACTTGGAGCCCCGGCCACCCAGGACACCTAAACATCCAAACACTCCCAAACCTTAAGTCCTGAACCCTAACCACCACCCTATTAGGGCTTGTAGGGGTTTAGGGTTTAGGGTCTAGGGCCATTGCAAGCCCTGCGCACAGAAAGCCTGCACCCCTCAATGAAAAGAACTCTGTGCGGCGACAGCGGCACGAAGCTGAAGCCCTTCGACTCATGTTTCTGTAGACTCGGGCCGATGATGTCATCCTCGACTCGCGAGTTGCCAGGCACTTACCCTAAGGCTCCATGTACCCTTGTAGTATATACTTAGGCCTTAAAGTACCTATATAGGGACCCCTTTAAGGCTGAAGTATCTACTATAATGGTACATGGAGCCTTTGGGTTAATGATGTGTTTAGGATGCAGGGTGATAGGTCTAGGGATGCTTTACAAACCCGTGCCTGAAGAAGCCCCTTACTACGGGCCTTAATCATCAGAATAAGGTTCTGGGGGGTAGATATTTCGTCTCAGTATTGGTATATATTCAGGCTTCGATATAAATCTGGACAGAAAGCCTAAACTTTAAACCCAGATTACCAAACCCTTGTTTGCACAGACTAAACCCCAAACACTCAACCCTAAGCCCTAATCCCTCAACCCTACTCCGTAAACCCTGAACCCTAAACCCAAAAAACCTTAAATCCTAAACCCTAATCCCTAAACACTGAACGTAAACCCTAAACTCCACCGTCCCAGCAGCCCATTTCAACCGCTCTGCGGGGTCGTCCACCAGGGCGAAGACTGTCTCCAACGGGGCCTCCAAGAGGACCTCCGAAGAGAATTTGGGTTTAGGGTTTTAGGGTTTAGGGTTCTGGGATTTAGGGTTCAGGGTTTAGGATTTAGGGTTCGGGTTTTGGATTTTGGGGTTTAGGGTTTTGGATTTAGGGCTTTTTCGGCTCCCACTTAGTGGTTTTAGGGTTTAAGTTTAGGGTAGGGGGTTTAGGGGGTTAGTTAAGGGTGTAGGTTTACACTCTCACAACGCGGACAGCCAAGGCGAGGGGTTTAGGGTTTAGGTTCTGAAGAAACATCATGGACTTGGGGGCTTTAGGGCTTATGGCGTTTATGGCTTGTTAGGGTTATAGCGGATCGAGTAGAGCTTGAGGGGTCTATGCTGCTGTAGCTGTACAGGGCGGCAAGGGAGTAATACTACTAAGGACTCATGCCTCGTGCCTCTCAATGCCTCGTTACTAGACTTAATGGGCCGGGGTCTAGGATTGCAAATGGCTGCTTCAGATGCCAACTGCCGCAAGATGCATGTGACTGAGACAGCTTCTGTGTCGCTCGCAGGACTTTAAAGCTAGGCGCCTACCGGAGGTTGAATGGGCTTGGCGCGGGTCCAAATGCTCAAAGCCGACATTTGAAGAGACGCCCCGGTCAAGAAATCCTTTCGGGGGGGGGGGGGGGGGGGTACCCCTGCACCTGAAGTCTAGACTCTAAACCCTTTTGGCATCCAGGCCAAACCCAAAAAAACAAAACGCTGAACCGTGTTCAAAGACTGTCTTCTGCTTCCCAGAGACTCCAAAACCCCTTATTTAAGGAATATACTTCAAACTATAGTAGGATCCCTGATATGATTAAGGAATGTTCCTCAATTAAGGGGTATTGGAGTCGCTGGGTTCTCTGTAATGCATGTCGTGCCTCGCATCTGCCTCGCTCGACGATCTCCGTCTGGCCATCCGGGCGCTGCACCTCTTCCTTGCTTTGGGCTGGGGTTAGAATTCGGGTTTAGGGTTACGGGTCTGGGGTTTATGGTCTCAGGTTTAGGGGTTCAGCGAATTGGATGTCTTGGGGCTGAGGTTTGGTTTCGGGCTTTGGTGGAGTAGTAACCACATCGCAAGAGTCAGAAAACCAATTCTGGCAACAGTACATACTGCGAAATGGAAAAACCAAGCACAAAGCATGCGGGGATTTGATAATACAACTGCGACAGTTGCCACTGCCACAATGGCGACGTAAAAGTTCACACTTCAATAGCAGTCACGGTGACCGTATCCATGGCCGTGTCAATCTTGGGACTGCTAGCACATGGCCGGATCGAAAATGATAGTAGTAATGTGCTAGTCAATCATGTAATCACACTGACCATACGGGTGAGAGCAGCAGTACAGTAGAAGGATGCGAAAGGTCTTCTCACATGCTCTGCTGTAGTTTAAGCTTCGGTATGTAGGGCATGAAGTTCTTCGGCTGGTATGGGGCCTGTACAACTCACATATGACAGGTTGCTTCAAGGTTGCGCGACAAAGGACCCTAGGCTTCCGCTAACAAACCTGAAAATGAGCCATGCACTAAGCCTTTCAACCCTAACCCGAGTGCCTAAATCTCAAAAACTCTAAACCCTCCACTATAAAACCCCTCAACCCGGAGCCATCAACCCTATGAAACCCCAAACCCTCTTAACCCCTCAACTCTATAAGCCCTCTTTGTTTTAAAAGGTGACACGTGCTCTTTCCTCCAATCCGCGGCACTGGCCTCTAGGCCCTCAACTACTAAAACCCTCCAATATAGAGTCCTTAATCATGAGAACAGGGTCCTGGTGTATATTCTACTATAAGTATATACTAAGGAACCCCCACAACAGTATAGGTAATTCTTTAGGCCCCTACTTGGAGGGGCAGGGGACTTAGTAAGTAGGTTATAAGTAGAGTCATATGCACCCTAAATGGAGTTACTCCAACTATAACCCTACTTATAAACGACTTACTAAGTCCCCTGCCCCTCCAAGTAGGCCCTAAACCCTAAACCCCATAGATCCCTTTAAGGAACCCTATGGATCCCTTTAAAGAGCTCTTTAAGAACCCCGTGGCCCCTATACTATGCCCCGGAGACTTTGCGAGGGCTCGGATCGGCGGTGGGCCAGGAGGCCTTCAGCGATGTCATCGAGGTCCCAGTCCCTGCTACCCAGACCCCCGGGAGGATCTAGAAAGTAGATCCCCTAATTTGGGGCCCTATACTACTAAGGGTACTTTATAGGAACCCCCATTAAGGGATCTACTTTTTGGATCCTTCCGGGGGTCTGGGTACGGCTTAGGGCTTCGGGCCAAGGGTTTAGGGTGTTGTTGCTTGTTTGTTTGTTCTGTCTGTGGGGTTCCTCCGCTCTATTGACCATACAACCGCTAAGAGTCCTGAAGGTGCATCGCGCTGACCAAACCCGGTCAGCAGGTTTAGGATTCGGATATGAGGTCTAGTCTAGGGTTTAGGGTTAGGAGTTATGTGTTTGGACTTAGGTTGAGGGTGGGGCTCTGATGAACCCAAAACCGTGATCTTCACTCTGAGCACCCTTCAACACGAGATGCACCATGGTAGGCAACCCCAACCCCTCAAAATTGAATCCTAAGTGCCTGTTTGCAGGAAACTCGATCTGATCTGCTTGAAACCACTTGCGATTCATACTTAAACCTCTTAACCCTTTTAATGCAGGCTTGCACGCAAGGAGCTAGAAAACCCTAAACCCTTAACCCTAAGATTCCGAATCTCCGAATTCGACGGACCCGACATCCTAAGCACCCTTTAAGATTATGACTTACGTCTTGAAAGCAACCCTACTAAGACCGTTGTAAAGTTATAAAGCCCTCGAACTCTAAATGGCCTGAAACCCCAGAACCCAAAAACCTAAACCATCCTAGACCCTTAAACTCTCAAAGAACCTTTTTTTGCAGCTGGGCTCTTAAAGTCTAGAGAATCCTAAACCCTGAACCCGAAACCCCAAACCCTTAAACTCCCAATCAAAGAACCCTTTTTTACACCTGGACTATGCATATGCCAGGAACCGAGAATCCTAAACCCGAAGCACTGGGTCAGTCTTTGGGGAACCTGGGAGGATTCAGTGTCCAAGCCAGGACGTCGCGCAGCTCCGACGCATCGGGCGGTTTCCTTCCGAAAAGTTTCTTCGGGTTTAGGGTTCAGGGTTTGTAGGGATCCTGTAAGGGCTCTCTACATGCTCGGTTATCAGGGTCCTAGCAGCGTGTAGTAAGGGCTCTTTGAGTGTCTGGATCTCCGCTTTGGTTTGCTGTGGAAGTTCCGGGCCCCTGGGAATAGTTTTGTTGAATTTTCCGCCCGGCTGCTGACCGCGTGTTACTCCAAGGACACCAGGTTCGGACTATTTCGAAATCCTGGGTTTGGCATTTGGGCTGACGGGTTGCGGTCACACCTCAATATGAAGCTTCTTGGGCTGCGGGGTCTGGCAAGCTGTAGCTATGCTCGGGTGATGTGTGGCAAACCTCGGAGAACTGAAGGATCCGCAAGACGTGGCCAACAAGGAATATGCATAAGACTCGGGCGAGTTGGCGAGTGGAGATGGAGAGCTTCTAGAGGATCTTTAACCCTAAACTCTAAGCCCCAGACCCTCAAACACCAGACCCTAAACACTAAACCCCAAAACCCTAAGCCCTAAACCCAAAACTCTAACCCTAAGCCCTTTTTGCTGCGAACTTCTGGTAAGCATGTTGGTGGATGGCACACAACTATTGAGGATCACACGCTTGTATGTGATCGTGTTGTCCTAAACCCCAAAC